CCCCTCTAGAGTTGCACATTTGTCTAACAATTGGTATCGGAGCAGGAAGTTCTTCGAATACGTTATATTTTCAGGAACAAAAAGATCAAATGGCATCAAGAATGTTCAACGCAAGGGTTACCGAGGGACAATCAACCACGAGGCCACCTTTGTTCGATGGAACAAACTACTCGTATTGGAAGGAGAGGATGAGAATCTTCATCCAATCCAACGGCTACAAGCTGTGGTTGATTGTGAAGAACGGTTGCAGGATTCCGATGAAGGAGGTCGATGGAGTCTACCTTCCCAAAACCAAAGAAGAGTTTGACGAGAACGACTTCAAGAAGATGGAGCTCAACGCCAAGGCAATAAACATAATTTATTGCGGCGTGAATGGAGATAACTACCGGAAGATATCGCGGTGTGAAATCACAAAGCAAATGTGGGAGAAGTTGGAAATCACCTACGAAGGAACCACCCAAGTTCGGGAGGCTAAAATAGACCAACTCCCCCACGTGTACGAGTTGTTCTCAATGAAGGAGAACGAGAAGGTGGAAGACATGTTTGAGAGATTCTCCAACATCATCAATCCTCTCAACCTTCTCGGAAAAGTCTACACCGATCGAGAACTTGTAAGGAAGGTGTTGCGGAGCTTGCTTGTCACCGAAGTGCCGTTCAAAGGTGGACGCAATCGAGGAAGGGCGCGGCTTCCAAACGATGACTTATGACTCTCTTCGAGGAAATCTCATTACCTACGAAACCACTCAATTTTCAAAAGTGGTTGAAGAGAAGAACAAGAAAAGCCTCTCTCTTCCCGCAACAACGTCAACCAACAACGTTGACGACGAAGATGATGATAGCGATGGCACCGACATTGGACTCTTCGTCCGGAGATTCAAGAATATGATGAACAAGAAGGGAGCCAAGAAGAACACTCCACCCAAGTGCTATGGGTATGCTGAAATTGGACACATTAAACCAATGTGCCCCAAGCTCAAGAACGAGAAGGACAAGAAGGCACCGAAAAAGTGGAGCAGTTGGGCGCATATCAAGCATAGCGCATATCAAGAAGCGAGACCCCCGTTTACTCATCTGCATAGTGGCAACACAATACAGATTCAAGGCATATTAACATTTCAATTCATTTCAACAAAAAATTATGTATTCCCTCAATTATAACATATTCTCGTCTCAATTATAATTTTTTAAATTTGATTTTTTATACTCTTCATCTCAATTTTTTTTAAAAGACACCATCGTTCATACTCTCCTACTTATTATATTTCAAAAAAACACACACAGATAATATTATACCAAATCAGATCACTGCATCTCAGTTTAACATGTTTATATGTTGTTTAGATGATATTTAATAAAATCAGATTAAACCAGATCAAATTAGAAAAAGTTTTTAAATATAACTAGAAAGCAGATTAGATCTAATCAGATAGGATAAGATAAGATCAAATCAAATTCAATCAGATCTTATTGCTTGCATATTTCATGTGAGCCACTGCATCTCAATTTAACATGTTTATATGTTGTTTAGATGATACCTAATAAAATCATATTAAACCAGATCAAATTAGAAAGAGTTTTTAGATATAACTAGAATTAGATCTAGCTGATTAGATCTAATCAGATAAGATAAGATAAAATCAAATCAAATTCAATCGGAGCTTAATTATTGCTTGCATATTTCATGTGAGCCATTGCATCTCAATTTATCATGTTTATATATTGTTTAGATGATATCTAATGAAATTAGATTAAACTAGATCAAATTAGAAAGTGTTTTTAAATATAACTAGAATTAGATCTAGCAGATTAGATCTAATCAGATAAGATAAAATTAAAAGAGTTTTAAATATAACTAATCAGACTAATTAGATCAAATTGGACAAAAACAGATCTAATCGGAATAAATCATAGTCAAATCCTATAAGATCGGATCAAATCTTCAAAAATATTGAATCAAATCAAATTCAAATATAGTAAGATCAGATAAAATATTAAAAAATCAATTTAATTGTATAGGTCGTGTCATATTTGCCTGATCTAATCCTTAAATGCATCATATCGGATCTAATTAGATTGAATTAAACAAAAATAGATTTAATCACATCAAATCAAATTCAAATCTATTAAGATCAGATCAAATCTTCAAAAAAATAATTTAATTATATAGGTTGTGTCCTATTTGTCTGATCTAATATTTAAATGCATCAGATCAGATCTAATTAGATAGAATCAGACCAAAACAGATCTAATTGAATCAAATCAAATTCAAATCAAAGGTGATGAGATCAAAATTATCCAAAGAAAATCTATTCGATTGTATTGGTTATGTCCTATTTGCCTGATCTAATCTTTAAACACATTAAATCATACCTAATTAGATCGAATTAGACCAAAACAGATCTTTTTGAAATAAATCATGGAAATAAATAATATGAATTAAATGTGAGAACCTTTTTGAATAAAGGTCAATTAAACCAATTTTGACTCTGTCAAAGTCAACCACCCAAAAATATGATGTCGGAAAAAGTATAACGAATAAATATAAAAATTATATCGTTAGATAGAGTTTAACTGTCTGATCGCAACGGTGCAATCGGATTTCAATTCGGAGAAAGTTGGACCAAAAAGTGTTCCCCGGACCAAATTAGTCCCAATCAGGGACTTGCGTTTGGAATCGAAGAAATATAGCAGCCCCCTCCACTGAGACGCCGAAACAGGAACGGATACATCATCACCTTGGCCTCTTCCTCCATTCTTTTACTATATAAGAAACCCAACTTCACCATTCTTCATCAAATTCATTCTGAGAGATAGCCTTGAGTGTGGAGAACGCAGTGGTGCTGTCAATTTGGTGAGAGGTCGCCGGAACAAGACGTGGTGTTCGCCGGAAGTTTCACCGGAAAATATTCAAAACCTTCATTTACCTTCGAGGTAAGCCCGTAGATATATCTAATGATTAGAATGTTCGTATAACTCGTTTTTACGTTCATAAACGGTCGTTTGGTTGAGTTTT